TGATACTCGGGATAGATGTATTTCTGGGATTTTTCTTTGGCAGAAGTCCTATTGGAGTCTATCTCTTTTAGAGAAATTGGTGATTTCACACTTTGAGGTGGGCTCAGAGGTCCCTTTCAGGGAAAGCAACAACCGAGCAGAGTGCTCTACTTAGAAAAAACTCATCACTTTTTCCAGCAATTTTGTTGCAAGAGTATCTCAGTATCCAGGCACAAAAACTTATGAAAGATTTGCCATGAATGTGGCCACAGTATATGTTCTATATTTTAATTTATTTAGAATAATATTGAGAGTGTGACTCTCAGTTCACAACTTCAAATATACATGAAATTTAACTGACACAGTTTCCTAGAACTCGAATTGGCTGCATTTTGAAATTCAACCACACACTGTACATTGGTGAATTGAAGGGTTACTTCATCAAGCCCATGCCCTAGTCTAGTCCCGTTGGTGGGATGCCATTTGGTCTTGATTTGTGCAGCCACACAGGATGGCAGCCATATCTGAGCCTTCTCAGTCTGTGTTTGGCTCAGACATAAGACAAGACAATCTACCCATGGTACTGTCTATCTCAAGTTTCATAAGCCAGGTTTCTCACGTCTCCTGGGTGATATTTCTCCTCTGGCAGCCCTTTAGAGAATTGGACAGGAATACCCACTCCTTCTTTCCTTCCTTCCTTCCTTCCTTCCTTCCTTCCTTCCTTCCTTCCTTCCTTCCTTTCTTTCTTTTTTTCTTTCTTTCTTCTTTCTTCCTTATTTCTCTTTTTTTTGTAGAGGGCCATTACCCAGCTGTTCTCAGGTCTTGCTCTGGCTCTGCACTCAGGGATCACTCCTGCAGAGTTTGGAGGACCATATGCAGTGCCAGGGATCAAACCTAAGTCACATGCAAGAACAAGTACCTTACCCACACACAGTACTATTGCTCTGGCCTACAAGTTGTTCTTTCTGAGCCAATAGCCAGTCACAGTTGTGAGTGGGAGGATATGGCAGGCAAGGAGAGAGGAATGCTGCCTACTCTGAAGACATGAGTGGAAGGGGACAGGCAGTGTGCACATTATCAGGTTGTCAGAGGGGCCGAGCTAAGGAGACCAAAAACAGTGCAGAAGTGACTAGAAAGTGCAGGAGAAGGGCAGTGGGGCAGGTACTTGCAGCCAGAGGAGACTACGAGAACCTCAAAGACTGGGTTCTGGGACATTCCAGAGCATTTGCCACAAGACAGTTACATGTGCATGAAGCTCAGCATGCTGAACAGAGGAGGACACTGCATCCTTGGAAAGACCAGTGTCAGTTTTTAGAGGCCCAACACTGCTCCAGGCATTGAGCTGGTGAATTCAGAGCAAAAAGCCCTTGTCCTCGTGGAGCCCAGCTTCTAAACAATGAATATGCACCAGAATATATGATCGTAGAGAACCCGAGAGACCGGTGTGTGTTACAGAAAATTAAAACAAAACAGGGGTGAGGAGACAACTTGAGAGGCATCGTGCATGCATCACAGGTGTGATCACAGCAGTCTATGCCCCCTACCCACAGCATACACAGCAGGGTTTGCGCTAGTGACCTCTAGGTCACCAGGACCTGGATCACCAAGCCTGGTCACTGAGCTAAGAGTGGCCCATTTGAAAGAGGGGCAGGAGAGGAATAGGAAAGAGAAAAAGAGGAGAGGAGGCAGAGAATGAAGAGGGAGAAGAATAGAAGAGAGAGGTGGAAGAAAGGAGAGAGGGAGAAAAAAGAGAAGAGAAAGGTAAGAAAGAGAAGAAATAAAAAGCAAAGGAGGAAGAGAAGTGAAAGGAGGAAGACGGAAGGAAGGAGAGCAAGATAGGAAAGAGAGGAGAGAGGAGAATAAGAGAGGGGGAAAGAGGAGAGGGAAAAGAGAGGAAAGAGGGAGGGAAGGAAAGGAGTAGAAAATGGAAGAGAAAACAGAGAGGAGGAAAAGAGAAGACAGATAAAAGAGAGAGGAGAGGGGCCCAGAGAAATGAACAGTGAGTAGTTCTTTGCATGCACCTAACCCAGGTTCAATCCACAGTATTAATGGTCTCCTGACCCCTGCCAGGAATGATTCCTGAGCGTAGAGCACAGAGCCAGGATGAACTCTAAGCAACACTGAGTGTGGCACAAAAACAAGAACATTAAAAAAGAGGAGAGATGGGAGAGGGGACTGAGAAGAGGAGGAGGAGGAGGAGGAGGAGGAGGAGGAGGAGGAGGAGGAGGAGGAGGAGAAGGGGAGAGAGAGAGAGAGAGAGAGAGAGAGAGAGAGAGAGAGAGAGAGGTTGGGGGGGAAGAGGAGGGCACTAGGCATTCACCAGGCTCAGTGTCAGTGTCAGTGAGCTGGGGAAATAAGTCGTTAGTACAGAGAAACGGAGCTGTGGCCAGGGGTTGACGGACAGTGGCTCTCCCGGAGGTGGGGGCTGAATCGGGGCATTCAAGTTTGCCATGGCTAGAGTCAGGTGCTGCTGCTACAGGGACAAGAACTCAGCATTTGTACTGGCCGTGGCTACACAGAGGTCACTGCAGCATTGCAGAAGGTGGAGTGAAAGTTGGGTAGAAATGTTTTCAAGTGGACTGGATACATAAATGGAGGCAAAAAGAAGAGAATGTGGGCAAGAGCAATAGTACTGCGGGTAGGGTGCTTGCCTTCCGTGCAGTGGAGCCGGGTGCAATCCCCTCCACCCCATGTTGTCCCAGAGTCTCCATGGGGTGAACCCTTAGTGCAGAGCCAGGAGTACACCCTGAGTACCAGGTGTGAGTCAAACACACACACACACAGAGAGAGCGAGAGAGAGAGAGAGAGAGAGAGAGAGAGAGAGAGAGAGAGAGAGAGCACATGTATTAGGATCACTTGCCTGAAAGCTCTAGTGTTGAACTGGGGTATAGAGGAAATAACTGGAACATTAGGATGTTTGACATTGGAGAGTTACAGTTATGACAAAATCAAAAGCAAGGTTATGGTCCTGTCAGCAAGCAGCTGATACAGTAGCAGATCACTTGACTCTGAAATTTTGCAGGAAGGAGGAGGTGGAGCCATAGCCAGCAGAGCACAAGAGCAGGAGGGGTCCCCTGGGGTGCTCAGCACTCCAGGTCAGTGGAATGCTTTAATAAAATTTATAAAAGAATTATTTTTTCCATCATAATATATATGAACTTAAAATAATTTTGTTATACACTGGAAAATAATATTCATGCAACTATGCCCCAATAAAAATGAATTGTTTCTATAATAAAGTCTTTTGCAAAAACAAACTATAAAGGCTAATAAACAGATTTGACAAGAAGACCTGAGGAATGTATCTACATAGTAAGAGACAAATATTAAGCTTTCATGATAGGCAAAAATGTATGTATTTATGCTTTTCTTTAAAAAAGAGGATTTGAAGGTACATGCAGTATTGACCATATGATGAGATAAAGGACAATAAATATGCATAGGATTGACCAAATGAATGAGGTGGAGGTAAAAAGAACATAGAAAAAAGAAAACATATTCCCTTGTAACCTAAAAATAGTTTTTAAACAGTGTATTGCCCTTTTAACTTCCTGGAAGTTAGAAAAAGGTGGGAAACAGTATCCACAGGAAGCTTCGTGTAAGAGATCCATCAAGGCATCCAGGAGACACAGATATCTGGTACTGACTCAAGAACACACTATCTCTAGCAGGTCATTTCTGCCTTTGGAAATAAAAGAGCAATGAAAAAACTGATGAGTTATAACTTAAATCCAACGTAGCCCTAAAATGCCAATCAAGCCATTGAATTGTTATTTGATTATTTTCCAGATATTAGCAGAATCTAACCTTTTCCCTGGGCTGGAGTGATAGCACAGCGGTAGGGCATTTGCCTTGCATGCAGCCAACATGGCCGACCTGAGTTCGATTCCTCCGCCCCTCTCAGAGAGCCCCGCAAGCTACCGAGAGTATCTCGCTCGCAAGGCAGAGCCTCGCAAGCTACCCGTGATGTATTTGATATGCCAAACACAGTAACAACAAAGTCTCCAATGGAGACGTTACTGGGCCCGCTCGAACCTTTTCCCTGGTTTTGACAAGCCAGCCACCCCCCTAGCATTCTTGTTTTGGTTTGGCTTCACCTAGTTTGATCAAGCTTGGGTTGGCTTGGCTTGGTTTGGTTTGGTTTAGTTTGGGCGCCACATCCAGCAGTGCTCAGGGACCAGGTGATGCCGGTGATGAAACCAGGGTCAGATGCATGCAAAACAAGCACCTTCACCCCTGTACTAGCTCCCACCCGATACACCAAGCATGTGTGATTTGGATCGAGATTGCTAAAGGTCTGCAGGACCAGCAGAAAAGGTTGGACACTTGGGCTTTGCCACTTGGTTACTCTCTCTCCCTACCTCCTCCTAGCTTTTCCCACCTCCTCGAAAATATTGTTTGATTGATTTCCTTGTTCCTTCTGGGAATCCAATCCAGCCCTCATTCACGCAAGGCTGACGGTCTACCACTCAGTTACATCCGGCTGTGTGTGCTGACATCCCCAGAGGGTGTCGAAGCCTCGGGAGTCAGTGTCTGCCCAGAATCATAGCATGTTCAAATAAAAAAACAGGTTGTTCCGAGGAGAAATGTCTCACCCTCCATCAAGTGCACTAGGACTGGAGAGCCACATCCCCAGCTCTCACCAAACAGGAGAGATTTGTGGCCATCCACTTCCCTGTCACTTCCTCCAGGCTGTCTGCTGTGGTTTAGAGGCGAATTGGCAGTGGGTTTGTTTGCCAGAATGCATCTCTTCACAGTGACTCTCCCAGCTCCTGCACGAGCTTGACAAAAACAACTGTCTTATTTTAATCACCAACCTGCGAAGAGGAAGTAGATGACTAAGTGAGGAGAATCTGAAATCACTTCTAATCTGGGTGAAGTAAACAAGTGCCTATTTCCACGACTTAGACCCATAGAATGGTGGGCATGACATCACAGATGTTTGTCACAAGGCCCACCCCCTACCCGATCCGGAGCTGCGTGGCTCTTCATGCCTGAAGATGTTTTCTTTTCATTTCTTTATTTTAGTTACGAGGAGCCTGACAAGTGCCTGGTTCTCTTCGGCGATGATCAGGTAGGCTGGAAGGGCAGGCACAGATTGGTGGGCAGGAGACCAAGTGCAGGCTTGCAGGGAGAGGGCAGGAGCCAAACTGAGGGGAGAGGACCGGTGGGTGGAATTAGGAGAATCCTGAGCACCAACAGGGAGGCAGTGCTCGCTCACATGCTTTACCTTGCTTTCCCTGCAGCTCACTCTGCTCCCCTGTGCTCATGAGATTATCACCTGTTGGTGGAAATGGGGAAACCGAGGCACGGGGAACTGCTTTCTGCTGCGCAAGGGAGTCGCTCTGCCATCACTCTCCTTCACCTCCTTTTAGCTGGGCGGGGGCGGGGGCAGGCTCCTGTCAATCGTGCCAGAAGGGAAGGGCTGGGGAGAGAGGGATCCTTTCTCTGTGTTTGTTTCCCAATAAGAAATTCCGTTTAAATGCCAAGCTCCTGGACAGAGGGGACAGAAAACCGTAAACGCACCGAAGGGTGAATGGTCTGAGACCCTAGATTGGTTTTTGAAGAACCAGGGGAAAGGCAGACGATTGCAGGGTACCAAATTCTGGATCAAGGCGAGAGCAATGGTCCAGCGGGGAGGGCGCTTGCCTTGCACGCGTCTGACGCAGGTTCAATCCCCGGCCTCCCAGATGGTTCCCCGAGCCCACGCCAGCAGAGATCCCTGAGCGCAGAGCCTGGAGGAAGCCCTGAACACTGCCGAGTGTTTCCCAAAAACAATTTTAGAAAAATGTTTTTTAAAAATCTGAGTCACGGAACAAGACGGAGGAAGAAAAAGAAGAGAGCGTTACAGACCTGAGATGCAGCTGCTCCTAATCCCTCATTTTGCTCCTTTTTTTGTCTTTTTCTAGGTTTTTCCCTAAAGATTTTCAATGTAGCTTTTTTAAGAAACGAGGAACAGCGGTGGGGGTGGGGGGAGCAGATGGGCACTTCTACCGCGTCCTGCAGGCTGGGGACATCCCCTTCTCCGCCCCCTGCACACATACCCCACCGTGGGTGTGAGGGAAGATCTACACACTGCCCTCCTCTAGGGGGCGCCACCCATACGGACCATGATCCGATGGCGTCCCGGGGCTCTGAGATGTCCCTCCACGTGTAGGCCTGGGGTTCCCCGATGGACGAGTGATGCAGGGCCCGGAGAGACCTGCGGGGCACCCTGTCTTGGTCAGCTGGGCCCCTGTGATCATTAGCTCCAAGGGACTGATAAAGCGACTCCCGGCTCCTGTGGTCCCAGTGGGTGTGGCCCCCCCCTGCAGGAGCTGACGCCAGGGCAGCGCCCGAGACACTGGCCTGTTGGTCAGAAGGCACGCCCACTGCTGCAAGCGCAAGTGATTCCTCTGCCTTCATCCTCCTCACTGCACGAGGAGCGTGTCTGGCGGCGGCCTACACCTGTCAGTGCCGCAGCGCTGCTCACTTGGTGCGAAAGGCCTGCCACGCTCAGGTGTGTCTGTAGCAGCCTTCCAGAGCAGGACCGGGCCCAGGGAAACACGATCATTCACTGCCCCCTAGTGCGCAGAATGTGGATGGGCCGCGGCTGCCTTTTATTTTCTTTGGTTGAAGTACTGCGCACATCAAGGTTGCATTTGATTTCCAGAATCGGACCCCGGAGGAGGTCGGGGGTTCTGCTGTCAACTTTGCTGGGATTGACTTTGGTTCTGAATGAACAACACGACGGGGCCCAGATACAAATGTCAATCACAGGTGATTCTTCGGGCCGCTGTATTTGAACGTTTAAAAAGCAAAAGAGAGGCATCCGCATTTTTCAAACAGTATTTGAGTCCTCATGTGATGCTCCTCTTCAGATGAAAGCTTTCTTTAGACCACAAGAAGGCTTCTCTTGAATGTAGCATTAATGAATGCAAGTCGCATTAAGGAATTTAAGTTGCCGCCTAGCCAAGTCATGTGTGGAGCTGAAAGGAACACCAGTTAATTTATAAGGCAGAAGCGTTGACCTATCACTCCTTATCACATCAGCATTCTTCAGCACTTTTCAGGTCTTCATGTACTGCATCCCTCTTGAATTCTAATCCAGCCACATTCAGCAGAGGGGAAATCAGCTGTTGAATCATGGGCTGTTGAAGCCAAGGAAAACTTGATTCACCAGTGTCGTGCCACAAGGACCCTTTTTTTAAAATTTTTTGTTAGTGAAACACCATGAGATACAGTTGTAGATTTACAAACTTTTGTGCTTGGGTTTCAATTATACAATGATCCAGTACCCATCCCTCCACCAGTGCCCATTCTCCATCATTTACACTTATTTTGTAAATTTTTGTTAGTGAAACACTATGAGGTACAGTTGTAGATTTACAAATTTTTGTGCTTGGGTTTCAATTGTACAATGATCAAACACCCATCCCTCCACCAGTGCCCATTTTCCACCACCACGGGTCCCCGGGTGGGATGGTGGGATGGGGGGGGTGGAGGGATACTGGGAAACAAGGACCTTTTTGACCCGTCTTGGGCTTCATTCCATTGTTGCATCAGCCCAAGATTGTGCGCTTGCAGATCATTTAATAATATCTGTCAGCATTACATTCAGCAGACTTAGAAACCTGCTTCTTAAGGTCAATAATCTACTTTTAAACACTTCCTTACCTCTCTCTTCATTGCAAGGCCTTGAACAGGCTTATCACTATCTGAGCTCAATCACTTTTTTCTGATCTTTGGGTAATCCTAGAGTATTCTAGATACTAGAACAATTTCATGCCCTGAATTCTGGCCATAAGTATCTCCATCATGCAAGTTAATCATGGTTAACCATGGTCAAAGTCATCCCTTGTGTGTAGCTGTGCACATCAAAAAGAGTGCTGGGGCTGGAGCGATTGCACAGTTGGTAGGGTATTTGTCTACCTGGGTCAGCCTGGGTTTGATTCCCAGCATCCCATATGGTCACCTGAGCACCTGAGCACATCCAGGAGTAATTCTTTTATTTATTGATTGATTTATTTATTTTTAAATTTTTATTAGTGAAACAGTTGTAGACTTACAAATTTTTGTGCTTGGGTTTCAGTTATACAATGATCAAGTACCCATCGCTCCACCAGTGTCCATTTTCCACCACCACGGGTCCCAGTATCCCTCCCACCCACCCCCCCATCCCACTTTGCCTCTGTGCAGGGCATTCCCTTTTGTTCCCTCTCTTCTTTTGGGTGTTGTGGTTTGCAAAAGAGGCATTGAGTGGCAATCATGTTTGGTCTATAGTCTACTTTCAGCATGCTTCTCCCATCCTGGGAGGATCCTCCCAACACCCTTTATTTGGTGCTCCCTTCTCTATCTGAGCTCCCTTTTCCCCTATCACGTGTGGCTGGCCTCCAAGCCATGGAGCAAAATTCCTGGTACTAATCTCAGCCACTCTTGGGTGTTAGTCTCCTATTTTGTTACTTTATGTTCCCCAGATGAATGCAATCTTTCCGTGTCTATCCTGCTCTTTCTGACTCATTTTGCTTAACATGATACTTTCCATGTAGTACCACTTGTACGTAAATTTCATGACTTCATATTTTCTAATAGCTACATAGTACTCCATTGTGTAGATGTACCAAAGTTTCTTTAACCTGTCATCTGTTCTTGGACACTCAGCTTTTCTCCAGATTCTGGCTATTGTAAACAGTACTGCAATGAACAAACAAGTGCAGATGTCACTTCGACTATACTTTTTTGCCTTTCTGGGTTATATTCCCAGGAGTGGTATTGCTGGGTCAAATGGGAGCTCAGTTTCTAATTTTTTGAGAATCGTACATACTGTTTCCCAAAAGGGCTGAACCAATTGGCATTCCCACCAGCAGTGAAGAAGGGTCCCTTTCTTGCCACATGCACGCCAACACCGGTTGCTTTTGTTCTTTTGGATGTGGGCCAGTCTCTGTGGTGTGAAATCTCATTGTTGTTTTAATCTGCATCTCCAGGAGTAATTCTTGAGTGTAGAGTCAGGAGTAACATCTGAGCACTGCCGGGTGTGACCCAAAAAGAAAAAAAAAAAGAGTGCTAGTTTTGTAACTTCCTTGGGAGAGTTGAGAAAATAGCACTCCAAATCACCATCTATGCAGGATCCCGATGAAGAACATTGGCTCAGAAAGTTACAACAGGATGGGGCCAGAGAGATAGTACAGCAGGCAGTGCACTTGCCTTAAATACGTCTGACCCGGGTTTGATCCCCGGCATCCCATATAGATTCCCTGAGCTCATCAGGAGTGATTGCTGAGAGCAAAGCCAGGAATAAGCCCTGAGCACAGCTAGGTGTAGCCTACAAACCAAAATAAATTTTTTAAAAAATAATAAGAAGAAATTTACAACAGGAGGGGTATCAGGTGAGATTCTCAGGGAGAATATGTCTCTCTAGGGCAGCCCCGTTCATTTAATTCATTTATTTCATGAGACTACAAAGCAGAAATATTCCTTATGAGAGGAAAGCTCTAAGGGTGAAAGAAACAGACAAGAAAGTTCTGGTGTGTCAGCACAGGATAAATTTCAAATTTTTCCACCCTGTGGACGCTACGTATATAGTGAAGTGCTTCAAAATTCTTCCTAGACAAGTAGTAGTTTTCCTCCCAGAAGGTTGCAGGAAGTCAGGCGGGTGATTCATCTGGTTAAACTTTTCCTCCTGGGTCAGAAATAAACAGAAGCTTCCAGCTGTAGTGCTCTGGGGAACAAAATGCACCCATCACCTGTGGAAACTTTCAATGCAATAATAAGACTTAGGCTTGAGGCAGAATTTGCCAGAGAGAAAAAAGAAAAAGAGGTAGAACTGCATTCTGGAAGGTCCCTGACACAGCCCACTGAATTCCAGTGGCTATTGGTTTTATTCAAGTTGGGCAAGTTGTCCATCAAATAGTTGTACACTACCAGATCTAGTTTCTACCAGTCAATATATCTCCTTGACTCGGAAGTCTCAGAATAAACTGTGTGGTCATCTTGTCTACCCTTGGCTCTGAACCATCTTTTCTAGGGAGGTGATGAACTGAATGATGGTAGAGCCAAGGAGAAGAGAAGGTAAGGGAGGTGTATGCACAAGGAAAAAAAATATTTTGTTTACCTTGGGAATCTTACAACATAACCAGAAGAGGAAAAATCAGGGCAAATAACACCGGAAATGATTGAATGGTGCAGATAAAGAAAACAATGCAACCAGTATTTCAGCCATTTACCACGGCTTCATCCCAGTGTGCTCATAATGCAGCAAGCAGATAGGGAAGGACTAAAAGGAAGTAGACATGCACTGGCTCCAGAGAAAGCCCCTGTCCCAAACTGGACTTCATTCAGCCAAGAATCTGCTTTCCTCAAGGCTCTCCACATGCTGCCACCTCCTCTCCAGCTGACCTGGGGCCAAGCCATTTCATTGGCTATACCAAGCATGTTTTATGTCAGGGTTTTCAAAGCTGTTGCTGCTTTTGCTGCTGCAGTAGCTAGAACCTGGCCTTTCATGTCTCAGTATAGACAGATGCATGACTGAATCAAGGATTCATCCAAGCCCTGTTTCATACTGGCCATCTGGAATGTAGCCAACCACTCATTTAGCAAATTGCTCTGTTTAAATGCAGCTGCTGTGTCTCAGGGTTGAGGCTACCGAGACAGATCGCATGATTCCTTCTTCCTTCATTTATCTAAGCCACTCCTCTCAGTCTGCCCGGGGAACTTTAAAAGGCTGTTAATGCATGACAAGGCACTTGACCCACATGATTTCTAAGCCGAAGAGGAGCATCTGTCTTGTGCTGGGCCGTCCTTTCCTCAAAAGCAAGGGCACCTTGCCTGCAAGCCCATCTTAATGAAAGCTGCCTTTATTAAGAATCCCATTAAGCTCCACGGTGCCTGCCATTCAGCACTGTAACGATCACCCTTAGAAAAGCATGCAGCGGGCCCACACAGCCCTGAGCCGGGTGGCTAGTGCTTACCCCAGCAGTCGGGAAGGGACCTCAGACCTCAGATCCCTGTGGACAGAAGGTGGTGTTTGACAGCATGGCACAGCCCTCCACTCAGAGAGATGGATTACAGTCGTTAGCAGATAATGTCAACAAAGCCCTGAGATGATGTGAATAAAAGTTGGAAGCAAAACGCTTTCAGACTAGCAATGAGCTTCCAGATTTGGTTTGGTTTTGTTTCGATTTGGGTTTTTCATCTTGGTTTCCCTTTTTTTATTTCAAAGGAATCAGAAGTAAAGGGACCACCAAGGACAAGGTGCTGACTGTCAGAATGCCATCAGCCTCTTTGGCCAGTACTCATGATTTTGTTATTTATCATACAAAAAATCTTGATGCTCTCAACAATACCTGACTCAGTCAGGGTCACACTATTAAGTCCGGAAGTCAGAAGTCAAACAACATGAGTGTTTATCAAATAAATATCATATGCTGTAACCTTGGTTGCGCACTTTGAAAAGGAAACAAAAGAGTCTAAAAAATGATCTTTCCCTGATATCTTTGGGGGCACCAAAAGAAACAAATACAGGATACACTGACTCAACACAGTAGGGCTTTGGAATAAGGATAAGTGGGCTTTGGAATCAGGCTTTCTGGGTTAAAACTCAGAGGCAGTTCTGGGCAACGATACTTTTTGAAACTCAGCTTTTAGTATCTTCAAAATCAGGTGGATATTTATCCCTTGGAATTATCACTAGGGGAGACTGAATCAGTGGCATACTTTGTACTAGTAGTAACACCCTCCTAGTTAAAGGATGTTCGCAGTTGATAGAGAACACACTGCGTGAATTACAAATACCAGAGGGATTCAAAGGAAATAAAGGATGTTTTGAACTGGGTCAAGTAATGTAGTCTCTATGGATGAGCTGATCCTAAAGGAAATAGAAACTCTGGGTAGGGGCTAAGTATCTGGAGGAAACAAATATAGACAAGACAGAACTGGACAGGGGTGGTGCGGTAAGACTGAGGTAGGTAGAACAGATATCCTTAGTGCAGGAGAGGAAATGTTGAGTGAATGAGGACCCCACTAAAACTTCTGAAAAGCTGAGATGAAAAGTTTTAACCTTTAAACCTAATTGGTAACAAGCAACCACTGTGTGTTTTTTTTTAAGTGGGACAGAGGTGGTGTGAAGACCTTGGCTTCAAAACACTTGCCCTATATTAGAAGCAGAGAACAAGGCAGTTGTTCCCAACTTGAGACTGGGAGATTGCCTAAGGCAGGCATTATCCCAGCCCCAAAGAATGAGAATTCAGTAGCATAGCCCAAGGATGGAGAGGATGGAATAAAGCTGATACTGCCTTCCCTACTAGACAGATCTAATGGCAACATCAATGCTGGAGTAAGGTGGGAAGGGAGAGAGAAGTCAAGGCAAAAGAAAATACAACACCACATTTTCCTTACCAAATATTTGAGTAGCTAGCTTCCTCGATATCCTAGCTAGCTCCAAGCATAGGTATCTAGGAGCCCAGGAGAAGCACAGAGTCTGGGATCCAAGGAGTTGTGAGATAGGTGCTCTGACCCAATGGAGAGTAATAGACCTGAAGTGATACACAGTGAAAACAAAATGACATCCCAAAAGTCACAGTCCTGTAAGTGTCTGTGGGACGCTGCAGGTATTTATTGATCTTGGGCTTGAGGTAGAGATGTAGACACGAATGCCAATAGTTTAGGAAAGACAGCTCAGGAACAACTACAAAATATTGGGAGAAACAAGCCAAGGGCTGAGACTCCAAACTGAAAACAGCAAGGAACTGAGAGCGGAAAGAATCCCATAGAGGAGGGGCTATCCCAGAGGAAACAGCTGAAGAGGCAGGGAGATCAAGGAAGATGAGAGAGGGAGAAAATCCCATTTGCTATATTAGAAATGGAACAAGCCAGGAGAGAAATGGCAGTGGTGCTGGGAGAGAAACAGATGAGGGAGCGCTAAGCAGGGCACGTGTGGGAGTGAGGGAGTGAATGAGAAGCAGTGATGGGAGGCTGGAGGAATAGTACTGCGCTGACTCCCTGGAATCAAATTCATTTCTGAACCCCCCTGTAATAACCAGAGATGCTGTCAGGATCTGCTGATGCTGAAATAATTCTCATTAATATATCACACCCTGGGGGGGGGGGCATCTTATATAAGACACATGACTCAGAATTTTGGGTCTGTCACATCAAGGCTAAAAGAAACAAGCACACCGACATTTCATCTGTATCCAGACTGGTGATAAAACAGCGGCCCCAAATGTGAATTCCAAGTATTGTGGATACAGCTTCAGTCAGAGCTTGTCACACTGGTCCTGTCTCAGAGACTGCAGGACACTTAGCAAGGCTGCATTACATGTAGGACCTCCTGTTCTGAAACTTTGATCTGCTTTAGTCTTCTCATCTGTATAATGGAAATAATAAAGTTGCTACCCTGCAGTGTGTTTTTGTGGAGATTTAAAGGAACGGTGCATGTAAAGCTGTCAGAGGGTGCAATGTCTTCCACTTATCCGAGGAGATGCTCTATAGTCATGCTGACACCGGAAAGCACTGCAATTAGGCCATTTTTTCCCAGTGGCAGACAGTGGGTGTTGCTATTCCATGTTCTCTGATTCTCTCCAATCAAATGCTGTTCTGGAGTGATGGGGAACCCAGGGGCACCACTGGGAGGGACCACAAGAACACACCAGGGACCTGATGCCCAACTTTCAGAACTGCAGTCTGGCCAAATTCATGTTCAACTCACTCTGCTTGCTGCCTGTGAAATCCCATCTGTCTGGGGAAAAACACCATCCACTCCCTAGTTAATTAAAAAAAATGCATGCTTTTGCTGAACTTTGAAGGCACCAGCAATCTATGGACTACATTGGTTTTTCCTGTCCAGAAGGAATTGACTTTTCTTTTTCAAACTGTTGCAGGGATGTGTGAACATTCTGGCTTTGACTTCCGTTGGTGAATTACTGAGGTAAATATGAAATTTGAATCTAATTTCAAAAGAAAGGGACCAACACTTGTTTAAAATATAATCGTTTGGGTGGCAGAGAGATAGTACAGCAGAAAGGGTGTTTGCTTTGCATGTGGTCAAACCAAAGTCGAATAATGCCAGGAGTAATTCCTGAGTGTAGAACCAGGAGTAACCCCTAAACATTGCTAGGTGTGACCCTAAAAACAAACAAACTAAAAAAAGTATAATATTTTTATATAACTCTTGGTGTGGGATAAAAGAATCAACCAAGAAGTGCTCTTAGGAGAGCATAGGGTTTGTTTCTTCTTTGGTTTGTCCCTCCTAATTTCGTGTTTGTTTTCACACTCACCATTTCCTGGCTCTGCTCTGTAGCCCCTCTTGGGGCTCTCACACCTCCATGGAAGTTCTACTACTGTCATATTTGTTCATTCATTCGAGAAATATTTTCTGTAGTTAAAGCAACTTACTTACTTCTGGAGATAGAAGAGATAAGACAACTAACTAGATACAGGAGAAATCTGGACAAACATTTCAAGCACACATAGAATGCTCAAAGGACCAGACATAGTATTAGTGGGACAGGGAGCTGCTATAACAAACAACTCCCCACAAGCAGTGTTTCTCAGAGAGAGTATTTCCTGGTCACACAACAGTTCACTGCATGCATTTGGATGGGAGATTCCATGTTGTGATTTGGGAACCCATTTCCACTCAGCCAAGGGAAGGAGATCCAAGTGAGGGGTTATGTGAGAGAATTTCCTGAGGTTAGACCTGGAAATAACAGAGGGCAGCACTGCTCACTTTCTTAGACTCCGGAGATCCTTTCCACTTACCTCCATGGATGAAGGAACATTCACAAAGGCACACACTCCCCACACATTTGCTGCTGCTTTCACATTTAACCCCGGCATCCTCTACAAACCCCTCAACAAATAACCCTCAAATTCACCTTACTAGCCTTCTGCAGGCTTCCTTTGCAACACTTGCAAATGCATCTCCTTATGTTGTCCTACAATCTTCAAACACAGACACTGTGCACCTTGCTCTGTTCTCTGAACCATGCTTAAGCCTCACCCAACACTTAACCCTAAGCCCCCTTCACAGCACCAGACACACATATGTGGTAACCAGTAGATCTTAGGCCCACACAGTGATACTCACAGATATTATGCACACACCCAGATTCCTCACATTCACACAGTTACACACAGATCCTGTGTGTACTCATTCATAGTCATACACAGATTTCACATATACATCATACACAGGGATCCTCTACACAATCACACAGAGGTCACACACAGATCCTGCACACACATGGTTTCATACACAGATCCATTGTACATGACAGAAATAAATACGTACCTCAGACAAATAAGTGCATCCACTTCTCCCTGCAGAGGTGACCACACTTACGCAGACTCACTCAGAGGCTATCACTTAGATGCTCCCTCACAGGAAGACTCCTCTCAAGCTTGTGAATAGATTCTTACAAGTCAAACAAACAGGAAAACATGCACACAAGCATAAACACACACAGACACACACAAGCAGACACTGATCTAACTGGTCATTTCAGGACATCTCAGTTCTTTACTACAAATAACCAGGAATGTGTTGTGACTCACTAGTCACAAGGGCAGACCAAGGAGCACCCCAAGGAGCCCAGATGGTGCGATCACACTTCCCCTTACCCTGTCTGGCACGGAGACAGTAGGGGGTCGGGGTGGGCAGACAATTCTGTGGGTGCCCTCCAATGCTGGGAAGTGTGCCTGCAAGACTGGGAACATGCGGCCTGTTTGTTCCCCCACATCCTCCTCAAGAACAGAGTCTGCTTCGACCCCTTTCATGTGAGAGGCTCTCTTTCGCCCACAGCAGCAGCTTCTGCTGGGTTTCCACACGATGCGGCTGGGTTTCCTGATAATATAAACTTTAAAAATAATCACACAGAAGAGAACGGCTGTTCCCCCCAATCCTATAATTCACTTAGAAAATGGGTGCTTCTAAAGAGGGGTGTAGTATGGTGGCTGTTAAGAGAGAAGACTCAGCGATCAAAAAGAAAACCGAGGACGAATAAAGGGATTTGGAAGTGAGAAATAGCCTGGGCCAGCTGGCGGCCATCTGGGAGCTGTGAAGAAAGGGAAGAACAAAGTTACTGAGTTTCTAGCAAGTGGGTACAGTTTCTCATGAAGGAGGCCGCCACTTTGAGGAACTGGAAAAAAGCCAGAACCTAACCAGCTATTTTTTAATAGTGGTTTCCTGAGGAATAGATGGCAGGGAGTGTGCGCAAATCAGTAAATCAGTTCTGGACATGATCATTTTAGGAAAAGTCAGAAAACATCAGGTGTGGCGAAATAGAGCATCTCTGGACATCTGTGGTTGTGGGTAACAGAGGAGTAGGAAGGATATTTGGCTATTGCTGATGTGTGTGTGTGTGTGTGTGTGTGTGTGCGTGTGTGACGTTAGGGTAACACATTTGATGTGCTCAAGGGATACTCCTGGTCTTGTGCTCATGAATACTCCTGTCTTTGTGCTCAGGGATCACTCTCATGGCAGGCCCAGGGGGCCATATACAGTGCTGTGAATTAAACTGGGGCCTGCCACTCGCAAGGCAAGTACCTTAACCCCTGTTCTTTCTCTGACCCTGTTCAAGGAGTTTTTTTTTAACACTCAAAGATCAGAAAGAAAGCCCATGTGTATGGGAGAAGCAGTGAATTATAATCAGTTATTTCAATTCTAGCCAAAGATAGGAAGAACGTTTTGTGTACTTGCATAGGGGCTCTCTACAGAAAGAAAGGGGAAAAGTTGAAAAATCATTGTGGCTATCATCATGTTTAGGGGTATTGTGCATCCAGCAATGGTCCCATCATATCACAGCACATCTAAGACAGCATCCGAGTTACTTGTTTTTGTCATCCTCCAGAGATCAGTATCTTCTCTCCGGCTTATACTCTGACACTGACGTTCCCATCCAGTAGTGGCCCACCAGAAATCCCATTCCACGGCATCACTCCCACAGCCAGTGACTGGCCTCCACTCATCAGACCAATGAGTCTTATTTCCTTAATGACTCTGCCCTGCACTCTCCTTCCTCTCTTTTCCCCAGTCAAACTGTCCGCAGGATGGTGACACCCTCCACAATCCCTCTAGCCTCAAACTCAGATCTAACCCAGCATTTCCCCCATTTTCACTGGACGGTTTTTGGAAAACAACAGATCAAGAGCCTGTGAGGTTGCAGCTCAATGACTGAGCTCCTGCCTCACAAGCATGGAGCCATGAATTTCAGCCCTGGCATGACCCCACATTGCCGAGTCCCAGCAGCACTGACAATATCGTCCCTGTTGCCACCCATGAGTACAGGCACGACAGCCAGGGTGTGACCAGAGCCCTGCAACAAGGTGTGAGCTTTAAAGATGGCAACAGCAGCAGCAATGACAAGGGTGGGGAAGAGAGCAGAAGTAACTCTCATCTCCCACTCATGCCACACCTGCTTCTGGGAAGTTACTATGAGGTGGTCTTTTTCCTAGATGGTTGGGACACATCCCTGAACAAAGATACAGACTCTCCCAGAGTAAAAGGCTATCAGGAGGAGAAAGTTGATTTACAAAATCAAAATATATCAAGTGATGCTTTGAAAGTAACAAGTGCTATCGAATAAAGTGAAAAATAGAATGGGGTCTAGGAATTAAGATTGCTGTGTGTGTATGCAAACACATTTATGCATATGCACAGTTTTAAACTGGGTAGTCAGTGAGAGGCTGGCGTTTTTCTATTAGAAATGGAAGAGACAGACATACAGATGTCTAGGGGAAAATCTGTTCCTCGAGGTGGAATAACCAGAGAGGTGCCTTTCAGTGAACTAACAGCTGTGTGGCTGGCGCAAAATCAATGCAGGATGAGAGTGAGAGGCAGAGCTAGGAGAGATCAGGTCATGTGAGGTCTTCTATGCGTGCAGCCCCTGCAGCCTTTTAGGCGCTGAGTTACATGCTCTGAGTACTGAGCATTTGCTCTGGAGATGATGGTGACTCAACCAAGTGGGAGCAAAGGGGAGGCTGAGAGTTGGTGATAACTCTGTGCTACCCACATTCTCAGTGAGGCTACCTTGTTCTGGGGCCAAATCTAAACTCTGCTGTTCAACTGAAGGCACAAGACACTTCAGGATTTGAGCACTGCTTCTGTCTTCAGATTCATTTGCTGGCATCTTCACATGGTGTTCTGAACCATGTGGGCTTCTGACAAGCCTCCTCTTCTCTTATGGCCCCACATGTCTGCATATGTAGCTTCCTCTGCTTGAACACTGCCTTCTGGGCCTCCAAGAAGCCTCTTCCCAGGGAAGTAATCCTTCTTCTCTCTAAACCACGCACCCAAAAGTAGTCCAGGCATATTTAGGATGACAGCTCTGAGCCAGAATGTTCTGTCCACAATCTGTCCTTTCAAGTGGCTGAGAAATTCTAGCAGATAATAACCAGAGCTTCCCCCCACCCAACCCTCGAGTCCCTAGCAGACATTGAATTGGTAAAGGGATGGACAGTTGAGTGGCTGAATGGATAGTTGAGTGGCTTGATAAAGAGATGGGTGGATGGATGGGTGGATGGATGGATGGATGGATGGATGGATGGATGGATGGATGGATGGATTCTTCCTCTTTCATGGAATCGTCAATTTGAGAAATTGTTGTTGGTTTGAAAATGAACTGCAAGTTCTTAACTTCATTGTTAAAAGAGTATGCTGTTTTGTTTGTGAGCATTTACACATAATTGCATGTTATGGCTGCTTTGCTGGAAAGAGAGATTTTGATAAATGACATTCTATTTGCTATTAACCAAACATAAAATTTCAAATCTGCCTTTATTTGCCTGATGTGCTATTTGACTAGTCATAATTTATGCTACAACTTCACACCTCTTAATGTTCATCTTTCCTATCCACCTATGTCAGATATATCATTCAGCTGAAAATGATTTATTTCTGTTTGCCAAAATACTAAGGAAATCCTTTCA